AAAAAAGTGTTTAAAGACAAAAAAAAAAAAAAAAACAAAAAAAAACAGCCCCCAACGAAATAGAAGCAGCATTTTGTAGATAGCACCAGGTTCAGTTCAACAACCAAAACGCAATAGTCCATGGAGAAATCACTGGTTTACTTCTCAAAAATGCTGATGCATGGAAATCAATTAAAACAGAATAGGCACTTTCACAAAGAGAATTTAGGGACCACGTCACACTCTTGATTCACACACTTTCCAACAGAACCAGACTGTTTGCAAAGGAATGAAGAATCTCTACCTGAAATAACCTTTCCCGTCGTCCTCTTTGATCTCCAGGGACACGGAGAAGGTGAAGATGTCACTGTCTGGGGTCTGGGGGGTGGCCAGGGCTGAGAGGGGGGTTTGCTTGGCAGAGCGGCGGAAGGCAGTGGCAAAGCTGTACAGGATGCGGCTCACCTGCGGGCACAGGGAGGGACAGGCACAGAATGCAGCACTTCAAACCTGCCCCAGCTCTCCACAGAGAGCAGAACGAGAAGTACTGGCATGAAAATAATTCAGTTTAGCATCTAACTGACTGGTTTTCTCACAGTTCTTAAAAGGATAAACTATGAAGTGGGCATTCTTATTTCATATCTGGGATTGCCATAATTATCTGAGCTTGGGGTAGAAAAGAGCCCAAAGCGATGAATCACTTCTAAAGTGCCTGCATTAGTTCAGTTTCATTTCTGTAATAACATTTACATGCACATAATTATCATTTGACAAAGATTCAACTTACAGCCTCTTGGATTTCACATCGGAAGACGTGAATCCTGAAGAGTTCTGCATTGTAGTGGCTTTCAGTGAAAGCAAAGCAATCACTTTCAGGGGTTCCATCGTGCCCTCGTACACAGAAAAGGATTTTATAGATTGGATAATTTTCTATTTCTGTGTTTGTCTGAGGATCCAGAAGTCTGTTAAAACAGAGGGGAAAAAAAACAAAGCCTGCACCTTTAAAAGAATTATTTCAGCCCGATATTAACTTGCAAGCTTTAACAATTTCATAGCTACTGGAGAAAGTCCATCACAAAGAAACCTGCTCCTGACTCATTTACTGCAAAGCTCAACCAGAATAATTATGTTTAAATTAAATGGCATAAAAAAGTACAATGCAGCAGACATTTCCACCAATAATTTCCCCGTAGTTTTCAGGGCTTAGCCTTCAAAAAGCCACACTAATATGCAGCAGCACATAGCCTCATCCTCTTAAGCCTTGTGGATCAGCCATTCTCCAGCCCCACAAACTAAACACTTTCCAGGCTGTTTCCAAAGTCTTTGTGAATAACCACTCCCACTACAGCTTTGGGGACACCTTGAGTCATCCTAACATCTCATACTCATCCTTGGACACCAAATGTCTTTGGCAAACAAATTCAAAGTGTCACTTCTTTCAGATCTCTTTAAACTCAGCTTTTTCCACTAAATGGAATCCTAAATTGGTCATGCCTCCTCCCAGGTAAGCTGGTAGCTTGCTTCCTTTGCCATCAGGAAGCCAGATTAAATATGCACAGTCACAGAGTACACCTGAGTGAGCTTCATACCTCACTGTCCCTTCAGAGACGTTAGGCACTGACAGAGTCACATCTAAAGAGATCTGGCACTGGCTTCGTAAGATGGACATCATCCTGAGGGCTTCCACTTCACTGCGGGGAGCGTTCACAGAGGCACAGCCTAAGTAGGTGAGCTTGCTGAACACCACACTGTCCTCATCTGTCATAGGTGTAAAAGGGCTCAAATCCTCACAGTCTGGCACAGACAGTTGATGGAAGAAGCAAGACAAGGCATACGTGAGTAAATTATCAGAGACTGACTCATCAATAACTATGTGACAAAAGTGACCAAGAAACACATTACAGAAAGTCAGGTGAAGCCAAAATGCTAAAGCAAAACCCCACCCAAAAGTGAGCTACTGACAGCAGAGAGCAACCCAGCTAGCTCAGCTCTACAACCAGTTAACACAGAGGGCTTCTTCTAATTGTAGAAGTGCATCAATTTTCATGAGAGCAATAAGAGGCATAGATGAACTGAAGCAACTAATATTTTATACAGCACATGAATAAGCATAATACTCCTGCACACATCTCAGGGCTACTATAGCAAGTGTTTGCAGAAGACAGGACAGCTCAGTGTATGTTCACTCTTGTATCACATAACCTGGAATTTACTGCACTAAGTGATCATAACAGGAGCTGTGAGGAAAGGTTAGTGGACAGACCCATACCTACATTCTCCTTCCTTTCCCCACAAGAAGCTAGTTCCTAAGATACCATGAGACATTCCCCAAATCTTTTTTTTTTCCTAACCTCCCTGGGATGGTTTCACTGGCAAACTCATTTCTGGTTTCTGAAGTCCTGCCATCGACACTGGGTTAATGGTAGAGGATGCTGAAGCTTCAAGAACAACAGGTTCTTCCCCATCTCCATCAGTCCTAACTTCTTCTCCATGGTCCCGGTCACTTGACTGATCTTCCATGGGTGGGTCCATCAGCACGTCTTCGAGCTCCCTCTGCAGCTGCTGCTCGCTTCCATTCCCCACAATCTAAGAGCCACAGAGTTGGGACACAAAAAAAAAAAAGACTGTTCAAGTGAAAAAAAAACAAATACCCCTCAGGGACATGGTCAATCACATGGCTTTCTCTCCAGCCAAAGCAGCAGTTAAATTTAACCTCGTTACAACCGTAGACACAAACTGCGATGTCCAAGTGCTCGCAAGTGTGGATCACATCCTCCCTGCTGCAACACAGCAACGAGCCCAAAGCTGGAATTTCCTAGCACTGGAAAAAGTGAGGAGATTGCTTGCCACCTAGTCTTTAATCACTAACTACAAAGACTACCTTATGAGAGAAGAAACTCACAGCTGTCCACAGTACAGGTGCCTATAACAATTCTCAGAATAGTACCAGAAAGGGCCAAACTATAACGAAATATAGCACGTGGTTCCTGGGTAAGATAACAAGGTTTCACAGGAAGAGAAGAATCTGGAACAGGATTATGCCCTCATGCTGAGGAGAAGAGGAAGTGCTGTTTTATTCCTTAACACTAATCTACAGCCTCACTTGGCACTCATTGAAGTCCATGTGAAAGCATGAAGCCACCTAAATGGTGCAAAATTAGGTCCTAAGGTAGAAAGAGAACAAAGACATTAATTTCAGGAAAACTCCTAGATACTGTACCTAAGGAAACTCTTTGCCCACTCCTCTACAATTAATAGGGAAGCAACTGATGCTTTACACAGACCAGAAATGAGCCACAGAAGTGGAGTTTACAGGAGCATTTTACAAGATGGCATTCAGAAAAAGGTGCTTCATTCCAACACTGCAGCTGCTGCTGGTCAGCATCACTGGCACCAAAACTCAACCCTAGAAGCAGATATGCTTTTCTACACCCTTACTGACTTAAGAGCTACACACAAGCTAGCAAAATCCAAATTGTGCAACTACTCCAAGTTCTTAAGAGTGTAAATGAATTCCTACTAAATTTTTTTTTAATCTGTAAAATACAACAGTAAAGAAAGAAGTGGTTAAAACAGGAGGAAGAATACCGAGCAGACAGAAACCTGCCCCAAACACAGTATCAGTATCGAGGCAAATTCCATCTGCCTCAAAACTAGCATCTCATAACAGAAAATTAAATTATCTTGACAGTACTTGAAGCAATGGCCAAAGTTCCCACATTTTATCAGTAAGTAGAATCATCCCAAAGTCCAGTTAAGACTGCTGAAATAACACTGGCACGGATGATGGAACATCTTCATGCTCACAAATGAGCCTTGCAATGAATTAAACATACTATAAGCAAAATATCAGATGTCACTTGTACATGCATTTCTACCAGGCCTGTCTCAGGAATAATCACTGTGAGACTAGAGGTTTCTCAACCAAGTCAAAATTCTGACATATGGTCACTTCTATCACATGCCCAAAGATAAACTTCTCAGTTTAGAAGAAAAGAAGAAACATGAAGTTTACTCACTGTCCTCTCTTTCACACTTAGACTCACTATCTCCAAATAATCATCTGTACCTGCAGCCTCTATCCACATTGCATTAAAGGTGTAAATGACATATTAATTTTCTGGTGAAAAAAATATTCAATATACAAGAATATTAACAAAGAACAGAAACTTCTAACCTGGAATTACTCCAGAATAGAGCAGAATACAATTACTTAAAGAGAAGAAAAGTCCCAGATCCTCATTCTTCAGAAGAAAGTAGGCAAAAAATGAAATTCACAGGTAATGAAAAAAATAAACACAAAAGATCCTAGAGGCAGGACAGATATAAAAAAAAGTAATAACCAAGTCACTGTTTTACTACAGAATGTAAACAAAAAAAAAAAATAATCTGTGAGATGTTTGAAACTCCAGCTCAAACAGTAATTTTTCAGTATGGATTAAAACCACATTCATGTGCAATCCATGACCATCTGCCAGGAGCAGGACAGATTAACAGTCTTACTCAGCTGTACATCCACAGACGTATCACTAACCTACAACTAGTTACAGGAATCCACAGATTTGCATTTTCCTCCCAATAATTTTAGTATTCATTTGCACAATTCACCACGGAAGCAATGAAAAATCTTACACAAGCATGTGGTCATCAAAGGCTTCATCCTTTTAGGTACCAAGTTTATTATTCAGGTCTTTGCCAGCATTTGTCAAAAATGTGATGATGATGATGGAAGATGACCCATGAGACTTTACTGTACACAGTTTATACGTTTTGCAACAAAATATAACGAATCAATTACAAAGTCCTACCATTAAAGCCCATATATTTAAAAAAATAACAGTTTACAGGACCTGTTTTCTATGAAATTTGCAGGTTTTTGCCAGAATAAATTTTAACTTCCATCTCATATCCTTTTGCTCACAGTGACTAAACAGACTTCAGTTTGGGTTTGGGAAAGGAAGATGAGGAATTTATGCCCAGTGAGAATTAAATATTGTAGTGCTATTAACATAAAATGCACATGAAAAATGTTCTATTCCATCAAGATTACAAGCAAAAAAAGTCTTAATGGTGAGCTACTGTATTTGAGAAAATAATTAGTATCAACAACTTCATATCAATATCATGATCTTGAAAATAAAAGTTCCTAAATAACAGTAGTGAGTAAAACACGAGTCCAAGTTGTTTATGATGTCACAGGAAAAAGACACTTAAAAAGAAACAAAGCCCTGTAAACATTCTGAAGCCTCATCATCAAAATCTTCATCTAAAAGGTAATTTCTAAGAATCCCTCCAAGCCAGCCTTCCTTCTGAGGCCTGACTGGCCTCAAAAAAGAATTCTGAAAGACACAGTAAATACACTTCTGGACTGTAGGAGCTCAGCTCTCCTCACAGCCCTAACAGACAAGCACAACAAACCAGCTGCCCAAGAAACAAGAGCTACACCGTGAACTACAGCTCATTTCATGTCAACCAAGGTCTCTTATGCAATCATATAAATTCACCACATCGTGGGAACAGTGGACATGAAGATGTAAACATGCTTGAAACTTTGCTGCAACCCAAAAAACCACTAAGAGGCAGCATGGCCCAGTACAGCAGAACTAAGGGCAGAAGGGAAGGATAACCAGGGTGTAAATAAGAAATGCTTCAGGGAGGTTTGCTCGAGATAGAGGAAAGCATTCACCCTAATCATTGTTTTCTCCATTTCTCACAAACCTGAAGACTAATTTTACTTAACCTTTAAATAGGATGTAGTGAACTTCTACAGCCCACAGGGGCATTGATTAGAACTGTAGCTTATTCCCTTCTCCTGACGCACATGCTGCTGGCCCCTGCTGTGAGAGGTCTTGTACCCTGTAATTCAAGGACTCCTGCTCTGCAGAGTGCCTCAGAAGCAAGGCTTCTGTCAGTCCAGGTCAGTCCCACTGGCAGTGGGCAAAAGCAGAGAGAGAAACAGCACTGGTAAGCAGGGACAGCTAGTGTATGATATTTCTGGGAAACAGTCACTGACAAGCCCTTTTAGAACTGAAACAAGTATTTCACAACAGAGACAAAAAGCAAAACCACATTTATGAATTATGACCAACTGAAGAAAAAGATGGTTCCTGCTTGTATTCAGAAGAAATATTTCTCTGTCTGGACTTGAGAAAGAACAAAAATTACAACATGCCTTAATTCAGTCCACAGAACTATTACTTAAAGCATATTGACAAATTTGGAATGAGAGCCTTTGCTTTGATGTACAAATTTCAGAGCCTATCACATTGAGCAAACACAAGCCTGAACACCCAGCACCATCCTCAGGCTGCACTTAGCAAATGGAAGATCCTCAAACTGCTTTTCTAACACAACAGAACACCAGAAAAAGACACCTGCACAAATACAAACCACATTTATTTTCTGCTTTTCTTAGCAAGCACATCGAAGCAAATGGGTTTTAATATATGCAGATTAAGTTAGCTGTAAATACCACAGCAATTGCTTCTCCCTAAAAAAAACTCATCTCATTTGTTCCTATGAAAAACATAAACAACCTCCATTCTCATGTTGTACTGTTAATATTTATTTTCCATAAAACACTTAAACTCTTTTAGATATCACGGTGACAGTACCTTTAACATATCTCTGACAACCTTCAGAACTCCACTTACCCACAAACACAGTAGACAGTCTAATAATACAGTAAAATTGGCTACTAAAAAACTATTTGCCAACTTTCCCCTTTAAAAAGAAAAGACACCAATAACAAAGCCATATTCTAGGGTAGTATGTCTC